CAGGTTCTGATCTTGTGGTCTGTGAGTTCGAGCCCCGCGTCGATCTCTCTGCTGTTAGTGCACAGCCTGGGCCTGCTTCTGATTGTGTGTCTGTCTCTCTCTGCCCCTCTCCCATTCTCTCTCTCTCTCTCAAAAATAAATAACATTAAAAAAATTTTTTTAAATAAGTTTTCTTGTGAAAAGTCCAGAAAAATGGGATAGCAGCCCGAGATATGAGGTCAAAGGAGAGACTTGGTTCAGACAGGAGATAGTAAAGCATGTTTGTATTGCTACTACTATTTTTGATTTTCAACTGCTTCGATGACTTAATTCACAATGCCTTAAAAACTTTCCTTGTTTTTTCAGTTAGTTTTAACTTTCAGTTAAAATGATCTCATAAACTTTAAGTTCTTTGAGCACAGGGATGGAATCACATTTTCTATTTTATCCCCCATAGTATAAGCATAGAGTAGTTAGTGGATGTTTTTCTATAAATGAGTTAAAGATAAGCTCCCTTCGCCCCTGCCCCCCGCCAAAAAAAAAAAAAAAAAAAAAAAAAAAAAAAAAATAGAGCTTGGCTATAAAGTTGTTCTTACACTTCATTCATTAGAACCAAATTTTTAGTTTTGGTTGGCATCCTTCATTATTAGACTGCATATATGGGTCTGAGATGTATCTGTGTCGAACTGAATTTGGAAATACTGCTGTGGATTTATATAGAAAAGTTACTGTGTATATGCAGTGTAGGTAAGTTATTCCTCCATAAAAGAGAGTTTGAATTTGAAGGCAAGACAAATAAACTTCAGACTAAGAAATAGAAAGATCACAGCAGCATACATCTGCAGTGAAAGTACCTAAAAACCAAATTGTTCTAGCAACAATTACATAACTGTTCTTTGCTAATTTAAGGGGGAAAGTGCTTTTTTTTTTCCTACTATGAAGGCGTATTTTAGTATCTGAAGTTTTGGATTTTGGAGGTACTTATGACTGAAAGTCGAGCTAGATTTAAGTTAACAGCAGCTTACTGGGCTGCTTCTTATCAATAGATATACTTCTTGATAACCAACTCTTAATGTATAATCACCAAAGCCAATTTAAAAAAAAAATTACTTGGTGACAATATAGGACTAGAATGATCTTTGACATGATTCCCTGCTTTAAATCAAGATTGAATTTAAATCAATTGAGACTAAATCTGCTCTAATATTTTTAGAGCTGTTTAGAAAATAGGATTTGATAGCATCCTAAACAATCATAAGGATGTATAAGTAAATTTAATTTCGATGAGATTATTTGTAGTTGGGTTTTTAGAGTATGAAAAGGGATTTTATTATTAGTTTCTCTCTAGGAGGTACATAGTTATGTTGCTATATGTAGTTCTGACTTATTGCTTTATAATAAATAATAATCATATAATAAATAGTAACCACTTGAGAAATGATATAAAAGATCAACACATATATTCTTAGTAGATTTCTGGAATAAGACTCAATTATAACATCAGGGTGTGATGATGAATTTTGTGTCAACCTGGGTAGGCTATGATGGCCAGTTGTTTAGTTCAACAGCAGTCTAGATGTTTCTATGAAGGTATTTTTTAGATGTGATTAACATTTAAATCAATAGACTTTAAGTAAAGCACATTACCTTCCATAATGTGGGTGGACTTTATCTAATCAGTTGAAGACCTTAAAAGAAAAGATTGAGGTTCCCTGAAGAAAGATTCTGCCTTGAGGTTGCCTTGGACCCAAGACTGCAGCATTAACTTTTCCCTGGGTTTTCTGCTTGCCGTCCTGCTCTTCAGATTTCAGACTTGTCAGTACCTATAATCATGTGAGCCAGTTCCTTAAATTCAGTCAGTCCCTTTTCTTCCTCTCACTGTGTGTGTGTGTGTGTGGGG